GCTTGCTTGCTTGCTTGCTTGCTTGCTTGCTTGCTTGCTTGCTTGCTAGGCGTTTTCTGTGTTTGTGGAAAGTGTATCATATTGCGCCTCAGTCTGGGGTGTGGAGAAGGAGCTGTGTAATTGACGGCTGTGAAGCGGTGTGGTGGGTGCAGTAGCACGGCTGCTGGTTTGGTGTGATTTGATTACATCGAACCGGAGTAACCGTGGTCAGACTGACATGTCCCCGATTCGAAGGAAGTCGGCTGCTTGTTGTCAAGGAGAGGGGAGAGAGGAGAGTGAAGATGCGAGAGGCGAGGAGGGAGATTTGTTTGCGGTGTGTGGCTGGAGAAGTTGGTGGTCGGCGATGATGTGTGAAAATCAATCAGCGTAGGGTGTAGTGCCTGGTGTATGGAAGGGGAAAGGTTGTAGGCCATTGTTCTTTGTTGCCCCATCGAACCGGAGTAACAGCGGTCAGACTGACATGTCCCCGGTTCGAAGGAAGGGCGGTCGGTTGCGCGGCCGTTGGTGAATTGAGCGGTTGGGAAATAGAGGAAGAGTTTCATGGCGCTGGGAGGATGATGCTGCTGTGTTGGCCGTGGTGGTTGGTGGGGAGGTCGTGTAAGCGCGCAGCGGCTCGGCGGCGCGGCAGCTCAGCGCAGGCAAACGGCAGGCGACGGTGTCAAAAGACCTGAACCTAAAAAGCCTTAGAAAAGAGAAGAACGAAAGACAGAAAGAGAAACAGAAGAGGGCAAGAGAGAAAGATAGGTGTAGCTCCGCGCACATCTGTCGAGCAAAAGTGCCGAATGAACGGCCAATTAGGGAGTGAGACCCCTGCACTCTTGAATTTCCGCGTGCAAAAAATTCCGAGGAGAAGAAAGAGCGAACCGAAAGGCGAAAGGTCGGAAGACTTGAAGGTGTTTGAACACTTGTTTGGCGCAAGTCTGCAGTCCCTGTGCATTAGCCGCTTTACTGAACCTAATCAAAGGATTGCCGTATGAGCCCGGCGGCTCGCCCCTGCGTGGAAACTGCGCAATGAAAATTCAGTGCCCCTGGATACCGGGGTTGACACACACAGTATGCCGTGCGTCGGCGCTTCTGGAGAGAGGCTTGGCGGTCAATAGCTTGCTTGCTGGCTGGCTGGCTGGCTTGCTTTCTTGCTTGCTTGGCAACTGGCTTGCAGTGCGGGAAGTGGGTGAAGTGGGGAGGCATGTAGGCTTGTGGGAGTGCATGTTGAAAGGGCGTGGCGGTGACATGGCTGGGGCTTGTGGTGGATGAGGTAGCAAAGCAGGTAGTGGTTGTGGTGGTGGTGGTGGTCGTGGTGGTGGTGGTGTAAGTTGCCAATTGCAGTGGAGCTGGTGATGTTGCCAGAAATAGGACCTGACGTCTGAAAACGTGAATATAATAGATTGCTTGCTTGCTTGCTTGCTTGCCTGCTTGCTTGCTAGGCGTTTTCTGTGTTTGT